AAAATAATACACTAAAATAATACTGAAAGAAGATATGATAGATCATGCAATCAGAGAGCAAGGCGAGAAAGAAAGGTCGAGTGAAGCTTTCGGGTAACATTACTAGAATCATTGAATACGTGGATGATATGGTTAAATTTATTGTCTTTAAAAGCAATGTAGTAACAATTAGGTATCCAAATCTGGAGATGAATCGATCCTGACAAAAAATATTCTAATCATCGCCAGACGGTTTATTCTTACATTGCATTTGAGAAATTCAGTAAAATTGTAATCTAAGCTCTGCCAAAAAGAAAACATTACATATTTTATGAAGTAAGAAGAACATTTTATATTTAAATCTGACTGACGTTCAAAAATTAGGAAAGTGTGATTGTAACAACGTTGACTTTTAGCAGAACGATTTTCAGCCCTCGGAAAAATCGCTATATAGAGCATTTCTGTTTCTGAATTCATTTTTGGAAGAACCACGTAGAGGCTATTGTAAAAAGAAATGTTGTCTTGTATCATATTATTCGAGTCACAAGAAAAGAAGTTGCAAAAGAGAAAATGAAGGAAGACTCGAACGACATAATTGCAGAGAAGAATAGAAAAGTCAATCCGGCAGTGAGATGTTAATCCGGCGCGAAGACTTCGGCTATGAATCAATCAAGCGTTGGCAGAAGGTAATTCAAAAACCGCGAGATGCTTGCCGGGGCAAGCGTAAATGGAAACGCGATGGAGAATAGTGAAATTGACTCGTAAGTCCTGCGGCGCGCGCGCGCGCGTGCTCGCGGGTACAAAAGTAAAAGCGGGAATTCGTGAGACTCGGCGACCCACGCGCGGCGAACGGGAAACGATGACGCCTCGCCGATCTCGAAGGCATCCATCGATCGCGAGGGGCGAGTCGACGCGGCGCGCGTGGAGACCGACTGCTTGATCGCGCGCTCCTCGCGGAGTCCCGGGACCGACCGACTTTATGAGTTATAAGCCGGCCATCTTGCCAGAGAGGCATCGCGTATTCACGTGAGCGCATACGCGATGCACTGCCGATGCGATATGTAAGTGCCACATTCTGTTCTCGCGAGCCACGCGTACAGTCTAATCTAAAAGACTCGGCGAGGGTCTTCTAACGCTGAAACCATTTCCGAATATACTTGTGGGCACTTTAAGCTTCTTGGATCTCAATAAAAGGACTTCTCTTAGACATTAGATCCAATAAACCATTGCACATTGTCATGGGACAAAAAAAAGAATTAACTTCCGGTACTTTACATCATAAGCTCACATTTGTGCGGAATTTTGGTGATACGGGAATTCTGAATTATGCAAATGAATTAAAATCATCATTGGAGGATTCCTGGATATCTATTATTGACAATGAGAGAAAAAGTGTGATTTAAAGATATGAATTAACGATCACAAAACTCTACTATAAGTAGAACTATAATAATTCTACTATAATAGAAATAAATTGCGTTGATAAAAAATTGTCTAATTTATTTAGTAGCAAATCAATTCGTCTTTATATTCTCTTTTAAAGAATATTAAGGAATACCGAAAATTAGTTGTGATTCATGTCCCGAAATCCTATCCACCGTGCGTCGTCTTGTTTCAGAATTTCAGCGGAACTAACCGTTTCTACGATTCGTTTCTAGCAACGGGACAATGGGCGGCTAACAAAAGCTAATTCTTTCTTTATAGAGTGATCAATCAGTTTTCCTGGTAACCACGTTCTACAGTTCGCGAATCTATCAAAGAGCTTATAATCGATAAAACGATTGCCCGGCGAGTTCGCGATAACGGAAACAATGAATCCTGCCTTTGTAGGCCCCGACTTGAAAGCGTCCATTTCGCGTTAACTGCTGTTTTCCGTTGTTTTTCCTAACTCGACGATAAACCCGGGTGACGTGCACCGGGCAATAATATATTATACCTGCACGGTTCACGGTGAACCTGAATTGATTTCATGCCAACTACGATCGCGAACCACGCCAGCCAGTTGCAACTGTCAATTGTCTAAACGGCCAGCCCCGAATTCGCTGCCAGCCAATCGTTCCGACGTTAAACGATTTCGTCGAATACCGTCAGCGCCTCTAATTTCTTTTCAACGAACACATACCCGCGGTCCTGCCGCGAATAATAACGATTCGCGGAACCTGACATAGGCGCTCGCTCGCTTCATACCAGCAGGCAATGCGTGTTTAGATAGGATCCTTGAAAATCCGCGGATCGACCATTACCGAGCGCCACCCACGCGCTAATGCTACTCTAACTCCGCTCGGACGGAGAATAACAAGTTGTTAACAACTATTAACAACCGCTTGGCTTTAATTGTTTTCTAGTTACAAGGCGTAGTATTACTTGTTCCAGATATCGCTCTAAAGTATCTTACGTTGCACAATTGAAAAATCGTCTTATATATTTGCTAATAGAAATTTACGAGATCTTCGTACTGATCGCAAGATTTTATACGATCTACTCTCTTTTATCAATTAATCTCTGATCATTCATAATATGAAATATTTATCAAAATTGTTGATGAATGATAGACACTTGGAAGTCTCTTAAGGGAATTCTATTGGTAACAAGATTCCATCTATGAAACACAGAAGTCTATAAAATAAATTCCTTCCAAATTTGAATCTTCTTAGAAAGTTAAAAGAATCATTTTACTGGATAAGAACTAAAAATGCAATACAATTGGTAAGAATTGAATGAAAAATAAAAAAAAAGTCGTTTTTTACGACTGTTTTACTTGAACCAGTAATGAATATTTTGATCATACTTCGTAAGTCTATGCAAGCTGAATTGTATGTATAAAGTTTCGTTGAAATTGATTAATGCTTTTATGAACTACTATGACTTTAAGGCAGTCGCCAAGGCTGTTTTAGAGGATGTTAATATTGTCACCGACTGCATTACCCATTTTGAAACGTACGACTGCAATTACATACTTTCTTGAAAAAGCGGGGGCGAGTACTCACCGTGAGGCTGATGGCCACCGGTCGCCGGGTTCAGGAAGGTCGGCGGTAGCTGCCTGCTCACCGACTTCGCCAATTCACCACCGGCGAAGCCGTAGACCGCCAGGAGCTCCTGCATCGTCGATTCGACGAACTCCCCCATCCCCTCGTACGGTTTCCTCTCCTCGCATTCAGCATCGCCGTCGCCCCCGTCCTGGCCCCGGTCATCCTCGAACGGGGTATCGTCCAATCGGCCGGATTCCGTGTCCATAACGCCGCTTCCGCTCTTCTCTGAGGACTCGGAATTCGGACTCCGCGCCTGGACACGATCAACAATTTGTACCCATTGAAACGTGTATCAAAATCATTCATTGAGACATACACTTTACTTCGTAATACATTTATAATACATTTATATGTAGATTGAAGCTTTAAATGAAATACTTGCTGATTTTTCTATCAGAAACTCAACATTATGTAAATTGTATGAATTAATAAATTGATTTTGAATTCCTCATTATAAAACAATTACTGAAGCCAAACAAGTTTCATCTTACGTAGCATTAGTTAATATCTGTAGCTTATAAATAGACTGGATTTTTATGTAAGCTGAATTTTGAATAGTGCAGTTAATATGAAAAAGCATAAAGAATGGTTGCTGTGACATTTAATCCATAAATACGAACCACACCTAAACTTCATTATTCAATTCTCTTTTCTAAATACTTTATTATGCATAAAAATCTGCAGTTATAAATCATGAACCACAGAAATTTGCATAATGATATATAATGAAATATCACTTTCCATATCATGTTTTGATTGACTTAATACATGCATATGTATATTTAAGCTTCGAAAGTACTTGTTAATTTCTCTATCAGCAAACCAAGATTGTCTATCAATTCCCTGTTTGTTATTTATAAAACAGTTATTAAAGCGAAACAAATACCATTTTATATCACATAATATTAGTTAACCCCTTCCCGTACTTTAGCGACTCAAACTCGCGATGAAGATTTTTGCCCAAACATGAATATCGCGAGTCTGACTCGCGACCAGATACTTGGGGCAAATATAAATATCACGAGTCTGAGTCGCGAACAGATACTTAGTACAGATAGTACTTATAATTAGTACAGATAGTTTCGTCGAGCTAAATGGCACGGGAAGGGGTAAATATCTACAACTTGTAAATGATTCAAAGCAATGTATATAACCCATTGACTAAATCGATCAAAATGCAATAAATCTCGATAACCACGTGTAGCACGAATATGTAACATGGAAATTTACCTCGGTACCGGGTGAGTAAAGCTTCTCAGAGCGAAGCTGTTCCAAAATGAACTTGTGCCTGAGCGAGTCGCCGCTATCGTCGTCGGCCTCGGACGAGGGTGGCCTCGTGGCCACCGACAGGTCCATCGGGCTCACTTCGTTGTTGTTCAGCCTCTGTTTGGACCTGTCCTCGGCCGGTAGCAGCATCGTCTTCCTCTCGTACTCGAGTATCTCGCTGGAACTCTCTTCGATCGCCTCCAGCTCGTCGTCGTCTTTGTCGGACTCGTCGGACACCTCGACCATGCGGCTGCTGATCGGTTTGAAGTTCTTACGTTTGTTCCGCGGCTTCTGGATGCTCGAGATCTGCAGCTGGGCCTGGCCCTCGTACTGGGAGTCGCTGTCCTGGTCGGCGGTGCCCCGCCGAGTCGTCGCGTAGTTGTACACCGAGTCGGAAAGCATCTCCGCTGATGGGAAACGAACCGGGGCATCAGAGACCGGGATTGGGTCCGACGTTTCGGGTCTCACCGTTTCAAATTATCTTTCAAAGTAAACACGTGCATTCTTTTATCCCGGATTACTCTACCACCTCAGTCGAGGATTTACATAGTTTGTCAGATACAGTTAAGTGCCTCGAAGTACACCTGATCTTTCTTTTACACGTAAACATTCATTTTCTCTATGGTTCTTGTCGTTGCTTGAAAATATTATCAACACAGGCTGAGTCCTTGCCAGGTTCTAAAATAGATCAAAAATTTCTATGTTTATTTCTACAGAAATAAATTGCCTTTTTCTATAGTGATTATTTCTATAGTAGAAATCATGCAATTCTAGATAAATCGTGTTAATTGGAATTACATCATTTTAAAATCGTGTAAAAAGAGGATCAGACGTAATTGGAAATGATCAATTGTCTCAAACTAATTGTGCTTCTATTTACTAATTAAATCATACTCCATCGACTGGATAAAAATTGCGATGCAATAATTACTAAATACTTCAATGAAATTTTGTAAGTAAAGTCCAGAAACATCGACTGAACGGAAACTCATAGGGTACGATTCTTGTTGCGTCTAAACGAGTATTGCAATGGCTCACGAAGGCCGTCGCCTTGCGAATGAATTTTTAACACTAATTAGAATCGAACCGGGCCTCGCGGACGTTAATTGAACGTTCTCGGAATCGTTTTCTTGGGAGTCGCATGCGGCTATTACGATTCGATCAAACGGGACCGGATGACGCAGTCGCGAAGGGAAGAGCCTCTCTGCCTACATTACTATACATGTGCCACTGCCTCATCGCTGGAGCAGCGTCGTAACGAGGGGTTGTGGTGCCGTGGCGGTACATTACTAAAGGAAGTGTGTCTTACTGGGGCCATACGGGCTGGTTACGGCGGACATCTCGAATCTCCTCGAACGGCCGGCTCTTCAATGCATTCTGCAACACAAAATTATACGATATTTAAAAA